CTGGTAGGTTAGAATTAGTCCAATTAATTACTTTCACAGCGGTACAAATCATGAGAAACGAAAGAGGTTTTGCACAGGTTCTGTGAGGTTCCCTAAAAAATCAAGAACTGACTCAGAAAGCACCATGAGAGCATCCGCTCAGTGCCTAGCAACAGTTTGGAAAGCTGAGAAAATGTTTAGTCACATTCATACGACAGGATACGGAAGGAGGACACAGAATTTAAAATTTGCCTCTCCAGTGAAACACTGAATTTGGTTAACTTCCTTAAAAGAAACCTTTCAGAGGAAAGTAATAATGCTAAAAGCATACGAGCAGCATATGAAGGACTGTGATTTTCCGGTAATTCTCTCATGCAAGACCCTTTCTACTTATCAATGCAGTAAGTCTTCCCAGAACCATGTCCTCCTCTCCTGGGACCTCTGCCTTTCTCAGAGCTGCGTGGGTACAAATCTTTGTAACCAGTAAGGCAAAGAATTGCAGTCCCTGCTGAAAGCTCCCATATTTGTCCCAGGAGGGAAAGAAACTAGGTAAATATGATAAAAGGACCAAGTTTTCTCTGTGAAAGAACTAGATTTTCCCTCTTGTTAATGTGTTCCAGAAAAAAAAAAAGAGAATTCCCTGGAGGCATACAAATCTTCAAGTGAGCTTTCTTTGGTGAAGGCCTTAGGGTCTCCTAGCACCCTTTCATTATGATGAACAGGGGGCAAAAGTAGAATCACAAAGGCTCAACATCACCAAAGCAGCTTCAAAGAACTTCAGGTCTGATACTCAACACCACAGTCCATGGGGAGACTGCAAGCAAAACAACACAAGAGAAGCTCCATGATAGGATAGGATTCACACTCTCAAGCTGTCTCCTGATCCTATCTTTCATGATTGCAGGCACCACTTGCCAACTTCGGACTGATGGATTACATCCTAAATGGGGTCAAATGAAGCACAGAACAATTAGTGGTATTAGTGTGGCACTGCCCTCTGACTGATCTATTAATCTTAGAGCAGAGGAAACACTCAACAATACTGAAAACAACACATGTTTCAAAGGAAAATTCCTACTGTAGATAACCAAATTCTGAAATTCACTAATGAGATATTAGCCAACTAGTTAAGCAAAATTATAAAGAAGACTTTATATTTACATCAATTGAAATTGCATTTATAGTTGTATTCACCAGATTAGAATCACGAGGACACTAATTCTCATTCTGAAAAACAAATGTTGATTGCCAGCCGGGATTATGAAAGAATTCCCTTTTTCCTTTGCCTCACAGGCTAGTAGTACATCTGGTGGGTACTGATTATCTTCCTATAAAACATTATAAGACAGAATAATTTAATTTATTATCACTGGAGGAGCCAAACTGGTTGAGTCAATGATCTTCAATTATGGTGTGACAACTCTTCAGTACAGTACAATACTGCAAACAATGGATAAAATAATCACAGATGCTTGTGTTTGTTCTTCTTTCTCCTCCTCTCACCCTCACCTAGAAGAGTTCAAAAGGTAAAAGCCATGTCTTCATTTTCACAAATTCTTTACTGTGTCAGCTACAGACAGCCTGATACATTTTTTTCTGGTAGAAAAATTGCAAAAATCTATTCTAGGTCAACGACTTCCATTGTCAGGATCATTCAAAGTGTTCAGAAGGCTAAAAGGAGAAAAATAGATCACTAAGTATTGGCATTACCCAAGCTCTCTGAAGAGGCATTGACTGCATTTATTGTGAAGAATTAAGAAATGACTTTCATGTCATTCTATTCATGAATGTCCTTTCTCCACAACTGATCTCACATAATAAACCCTGATACAAACCCCAGCATGCACTCTGACTAGATTAAGGACAAAACGATTGCGTGTATGTAATGCTGTGGGTTATAAACATGGAGTAATGCCAGTGAAACACACATAAATCTCTGCGTGTACGGGACACAAGGCCAAAGCAAGGTACACACAGTTTATGCTATCATCACAAAGGTAACTATGCCTAGTAAAGCAGTTCCAGAAAATCCATCAAACTGACACTACTAAACAGCAGGCATACAAGTAAGTATGAATGTGATTTCTCCTGTGAAAGGAATCTTGAAGTTGCCTTGCCTGGGATGTGCACGACTGTATGCTGCCCACACACTTGTAGTTCAATGGAACACTCACCACAGGAACAGCAGAGGGTATTTATAAAGCAGCAACCTTTTCCACTGCTCCTGCCTCCCGCAGTGACACGGATCATTAATGGCAGCTGCCATGGGCATGGTGCACTCAAAGGTCAGCAGCACATCTCCCTGCACTGATAAAAAGCAGGAGCTGATGGCAGGGGCCAAGCAAGGGACTTTGCCCCAGAAGACTCTCTCATGTTGTCCCTAAGGTTCTGGACCAGTTCAGGTGCAGAGGTGGGCACTGTTTGCTGAAGAGGGTGGAGACAAGGGACTTCCACATCCTAGCTCTAACACAGGCATAAGTGGGAAAGAGGATCTGTCAGAAACCAACTGTTTTCTCCACAGGACAAGTGGCAGGCAGGGCTCTTGTCACACATCAAAAGAAAAACAGTCAGGAAGACAAAACTACCTCATTTTCTTTCATATCTAAATTCATCAATATTAGCTCTCACTTCCTTTACAAGCAAATGCTTAAACATACACTGAAGCCAAAAGGGGAAGCATCTGGAAATCTCTATCTCCAAAAAACAGCTTTCTGGAACCAATTTTGATTTTGAGGAGCTAAAATCAATGCAGAGCATCAGACAACAGAACTGTCCAGGACAGGAACAGAGGCCAAGCAGGAGCCTGTACCACACAATGCTTAGCCACCTTGTCAAGTCTTGCTCTAACACAAACCAGGGAAAAAATCATGTATTTCTCAGCTGGCCTGCATAAAGCAGAGGAGTAGTCTTTCTGAGTTTGGGCTTTTTTCCCATGAAGTTTCAAATGGAACAAAAAATAAGGGGAGTTGCACAAAATTCTACCCATTTCTTTCCTCTAACTAGACATATACATTAGTAAGATGCTGCTACCACTGAGTATGCTAGTGTGCACATAGATTCTTACATATTTGTTTCATTTATTAATATTTTAGTGTTATTTTATAGTATAAGTCATACTGTATTTGAGTTTTTATTATTAATTTGGCATTATTTTATGAGTGTTTTTGTCTAGCTGTGACACTAATGCACTGGGTCATTTTTTCCATGGAAGCTCAATATCTTCAGCTTACTTACAAAGAAAAATGTAGAAACTCACACCTCTCTCTTTGATAAATGAGACCTGCCAGAAGGCAATGATCCCAGTGCACAGGACACATAATACACTTGACAACGTGGGCTCAACAACAATGAAGAAATACTTTTTACAGGCCCCTATTTTCTGACAAGGGTCTAGATTGCAACCCGTCTCACTGTAATTTACTTCCCAAGAGAAGACTCTGTGTGAAAATTGTTTTATGTTTCTTCCTTTCTCCATTATTTTTCCATGGTAGCAAGTATTCTATTCTGTAACTTATGCAATAATAATTACATGAACTAAGCTGATTATAAATGTACATAATACATATGTTTTATGTGAGTGCTTTCTTTTTTTCTTTTTTCTTTTGAGCTAAAACATCAAACACAAAATATACATAACATTTGCTTTGTGTACCAAAACACAGGAACACATTATTCTCTGGCATAAGAAATTTATGTTTGAAGGTCCCAACTCTGCAGAAAATCTAATAAAGTATATAACCATTTTTATAGTTAGCTCAGTAGGAATACTCACAGCATGTGTGAGTCTTTGCAGAAATAGTACTGAGGTAACTTAAACTGTAAATGTTACACAAAAATATATTCATCTGTAATTATACTACAATTTATAATCGATTTTTTCCCTAAATAACCACTTTCAGATAAAGCCTTGATCAACCACCCCCAAGATTCTTTGTAGAATCCACATCCCAGCATTATCCCTTAATGTCATGCAGGAACAGTTATGGAATTATAGTGGAAACGTGTACGCCAACATATAGCACCACCATCAGAGGAGGTCTGCATATATTACCACCCATAGTTTAGTCATGGCTCAAAAGAAGTCAGCTCTGAACTCATTAATTAAAGAATTCAGTTGCATTCCCTAGAGAAGATTTTGACAGAGAACCAAAGGGTGGCTACAGAAGGGCTGTTGCTTTACAGTATGCCAAAGATATTTTGGGGTTTATTCTGTAGAGTTACATCTTTACAGAAATTAACAAGCTATTAAATGGAAAAGCTATGCAACTGCATAGGGTTTTAAATGGCAAACCAGTTCACTTTGAGGGAAACAATGTTCTTATTAATTTACAGACATTTTACAACTTCTCATTTACATTAGTTCAGAATTTCACTTGCAGTATATGTTACAATTTCTAGCCTATTCATTAGTTTATGGATTTTTACAGGGATGCCTCTGAATGAATCACAGTATAGGAGCAGAGAAAAACCCAGAGATGCTGCCAGGACTCTGGTAGCTCAATAAATTAATGCTGGGATGCTACTTTCCTCAATGCAGTAGCTGTTAACACTGCTGCATCTAGTACTCTCTTCTCCTCTGTGCTGAGGTGGCATCTGTAAGCACCAGAGTGCTCACTACCTTACTCCTCTGACCCTGGGGCACTAATGTGGTCAATCTTCCCACTGGAAGAGCAGGGAGGTGATCAGTGGCAGCACAGTTTCCATCTGACCAACACCCATGACCTCCACCATTCCAACTAATACAAACAGTCTGAAGTCCATGGAGATCTGGCCAGTGACTGAGACCACAGTCGTCATCTATTTGCAATTTCAGCTTGTCTCAGTGGTCGTATTTCAAAAAAATCTAAGCCAAAACAAAACTGTAATACTATATCTCACCCCTCTCTTGAGATCAAAGCAGAGAAGACACAAAGAAGCCAAAAAACTCTGATTCCACTTGGGCATACTGGAAGTCCTGTGAAGGAAGACAGGTAATCTCAAGTATTAAATTACAATTTATATTTTCCTTCTAGAATACTCACCTGACTTTCTCTTTGGTGTTTCTAAGAACAGTTGCAGCAAAATTTTGCGTAACACCAACCAGACTGATGCCATCAACTTCCACAATTTGGTCATTCACTTGGATCCTTTCAGGAGAAAAACACAAATATAGAAATAATTGTGTGAATTCTTGTGATTGTTCAGCAAAACAGCATAAAGAGATCTTTCTAGTCTGACTTTAAATAAAAGCTCAGTCAAAAATTATTGAGGTAAATATGAAAAACGCATCATTGCTTGCACACAGATGTCTCATAAATCCAGCTTCAAAGGTACCATTACAATTAATAGCATCAATTATCCAATCCCTTTCCTTGTATATAAATACAGCCACACAAACTCTTGAATTTGTCATATGAATTAAATTAAATGAGATACTTGAACAGCTCTTATATCATTCTTTCCTAAGCCAATCTTGCAAAACAGCCTAAGACATAACTCTGGTATTTCATGCTAATGGAAAAAAAATGTGATATTTAACTAAAACAATCTGCTCATCTGTGGAGAAAAGAGCTTATGTATCAGACTTAATTGTGACATACTCTCTTAAAATATTTCATCTAACTTGCTCCAAAAAGATGAATTTCCAGTGTGTGATCTTGCTGCACACACTAAGACAACCTTGGACTCTCTTTTTGAAGCCAAACACCTATTTCAGCTGATATACTGCTTGATGCAGAAAAAAATGAGACAGAATAAAACCCATGCTGCTGTTATCTAAAGCAAGCACTGCTATGAAATCCCTAGAGCACACACTGGACTCAAATCCTTGGAAGAGGACTGCTGTGCTATCCTCTAGAAACGCACGTTCTCCAATAGCTTCAAAACTTAATAAAGCCAAAAACAAACACATTCAGAACTAGTAAAAGGGAGCAATTTTCCAGTACTTACATGGATTCTATTGATCTAAACCACACAGTTTACAAAGGAGCCAAGAAACAACTATAAAAAAATCCCATTGAAATGGTAGAAAAATACCTAAATTAATGTATTTAATATCTTAGGATATCTTGGCGATAAGAGTGCTTTCCAAAGAACAACAGAGGCTTCAAAAGAGCACTGAAGCATTTTAACTTGGAGCATTAATTTTTTTGTCAAGTTTGAGGCAATGCTTTGCACTTTTATATGTGTTCAAGCAGCATCTTCCGTTCTTTGGACTCAGAGATGAGTAAGAAATACAGTATTTATTCTTTGGCAGCCTCACACCACAGAATGTCACTGTGTTCTGGGCAGGATCTTCTTTCTGTACATAACAAACCTTGAAAAAACTATCTTTGCAGCCTACAAACTCCTATCTTGAAAATAATATTAGGCATTTTCATATTGAAATTTTTCTTTCATGTTTCTCTGAGCTCCCTCCATCAGGAGCTCTAGGCTTCCCCTGTCTCTCAAACCTAATTTCAAACATGAACAAAAAACTAGGCTCAGGTTGCCAAAGCCTGAATTACAGACATTTAACTGCTTTTATCATTAACAGAATTGGCAATTCTTCTAACAATTATTTTCTAATGCTCATTAGTTTAATCTGTGCCTGCAGATTACAATGAAGTAGCAACTACAGAAGAGAACTGAGAGAACAAATTACTTGCACAGTTACTGCCCTGTATGATCAACTGAGAAATTTAACCTGTGCAGAGACAACTTTTAGACTTCAAGTTAAGAACTGTGTAATGTTTCAAAACTGTTGTTCTCAATGCCATCAAAATACTTCACAATGTGAATGAGTCATCACCACAATAATTTGAAAGAAGCAGCTATGGATTGATTCATCCAGGAAAAGATTTTATTTTTCATATTCATTCTATTGATTTCATATTTTACACACCATTAATGACCTCTCTTACTACTTGCCAACATGCTTGCCTTTGGATCCACATTGAAGCACCCTCCTTGGTTAAATATTGGCATACAATGCCTTTTGCTATGACAACTAAACACTGCCTGTTTGTCTGCAGCAACATGAATCAGGCCAGTGATGCTCTATCACTGAGAAACCCCTTTGCACAGATTTTGTGTTTCCGTGGGAGGCAAGTACCTTATATCACAGTCTAATGTCTTTCAATAAAAGATAGGAGCTATCCTACAGATACTGTAACGGTTTAAATTGTAGCTTCAGAAGAACCTGGTTGAAGATTGCTATGCAATTATTCAGAGTATCTGATGCAACTGCCAAAATACAGTTTTATTTTCTGTTAGGAGACTTTGTTTTGCTATCAGTGTTAATGATTAACTAGGCTTCTCACAAAGATGAAGTTAACAGGACCCTTTACAGCTGATGCACTTTATTACAGAACCGGTGCTCCCGACTGAGAGGATTACATATCCCTTTCCCAAGTGAATGATCAGTCAGGTTCTCAAAGAGAAAATCAGAGTGCTATTTCTCAGCTGACTGAACATTCTGCCAGCTGAAAACCAACACAAATAGTAGAATGGTCAAAGAATGATTTTTTTCTCAGCTGACAAGCTCCTTTCAGATGCCGTCTAGGGAAATGAAAGAAGAGACTTGTGATGGAACATTAACTTCTGTAGCCCACTCAAACATGTGAATAATGAGGGGAAAAGAAAATACAGATCATCACAGAGCATTAGAGAGTGACTGATTTTCAACTAGAGAATTTCACAAATGCCAGTCGTGAGCTTAATGCCTTCTGGCTGAGGTCAAGCACAGCAAAGTAATGGATGAAGTCGTGACATCCTGAGGTGTCAGCTTCTTCATTTCCCTTCGTAATTTTAAAGTCTGTGATAAATCAGTACTTAGCCTTCAACTTGATATCTTATTGCCAAGATCTGCAAAGATACCTGCAAGCCCAATCTCAAAGGCGATATACTTCAGTAGTTTCAGAGTGATGTTACTAAATTTTGCAACTTCCTGCCATCTATAGTCTTATGATTTAATTTTTGTTGGGTTTTCACAGCAGAACAATCTTTTTCCTGGCTGAAAAGTTATAGTTGTTCATCAATAAGGAACATGTTACTGCAATTTTTGAGAAGACAGCATCAACTTTTTAAGAGTCTATTCTTACTCCCATTTATAAATAATGCTTTCGTACTATTTATAACAAATCACTAATGATTAAAAACAGAAGTTAGGATGCATATAAGTGGATTTAATTGCTAGCATATCAGATAATTAGTATTTTACTGGAATGCAAATTTACAAAGGTTATTCACTGGGATAAAATGATAAATTATATAGGTTGGAAGATATTTAAAAATACTTTTTATTATTAAATTATTACATAATAAAGCATTTTTCTATCTTTTAATGAGAAATACTGGCCTGGTAGTGCCAATTACTGTGTAATACACAGACAGCTCTGCCCCATATGATAGGAAGTATTTTATGTTCAAAAGGAATTCTTTAACCTGCGCATGCCAAATAATCAATTCTAAAGTAAGCAGTTTTTATATGAGCATTATATAAGACTAGCAACATCAATTCATTTCTTTAGTGGGCAAGATTTATGGTACAGCTTCCTATTCCAATTGATTAATGTACTTTTAGTGCTGTAGGTGTGAAAACTGAACTCTGGAACACAAAACTATCCATAATAAGAAATAAAAAGTAACAGTCTCTGTTAGTAAACTTGAAAGGAGTGCATTTAGTAAAAGTTTAAACATTCAGATACAGTAATTATTTTCGTAATCATAGAACCATCAAGGTTGGAAAAGACCTTCAAGATCATGTAGTCCAACCACCAATCTAGCACCACCTCCATCACCCCTATACCATATCCCCACGTGCCACATCCAGATACCTCCTGAATACTTCCAGACACGGTGACTCCACCACCTTCCCGGGCAACTGATTCCGATGCCTAATCACTCTTTCAGTGAAAAAGGTGTTCTAATATCTAATCTGAATCTCCCCTGATATAACTTAGGGCTATTTCCTCTCATCCTTACACTTGAGACATGGCAGAAGAGACTGACCCCCACCTCACTACAGCCTCCTTTCAGGTAGTTGTAGAGAGAGCTTCCTCCAGCTTTACTCATGCTAAAGCATCTGGGTTATCAGTAGTCACAAACACACCTCTTTGGCAAATCTGTTCTCCTTAAGCAGCATAAACTTACTGTATTAATCTGGTGTCTTCTCATAACCACATCTGCTGTTTGGACCTTACCAAAGAGTCCCTGAACTGTACAGCTTTGGGTTATCATGACATACATTAAGGAAACAACTATCACCTATGAAAATCATAATTTCTAGTAAGTATTGCTGAGAAAATTTCCAAATACAGAGTCTAGTTTACCTGCCATCTCTTTCTGCTGTCCCACCTTCTGTTACTGTTTTGACAAATATTCCCAGTTTTTCAAGGCCTGCATCTGCTCCAACTCCCATTCCAATAATGCTTATGCCAAGTCCATCTTCATCTGTGAAAAAGGCAAGCAAAAGCAGAAACTTCTTACATTTGTTTCGTACAATTATTTGGTAGGTAGACATTTATGCTTTGGTTCCTCTTGGCTTTCCATGTCAATAACATTAATATTATTTTGCTTCCTTTAAAAGAACCTATTTGACTACCAATTACACACAGAAAAATATCACCTTTAGCCTTAAGAAAATGCACATATCACATCAAACACTGTGTAAAATTGTGTGTTAATGGACTGTCAGAAACAATTCTCTTAAGGAGGATAAGAACTGCATGTCTCTGAGCTGCTTCTTGAATTCCTTACTGAACAATTCCTGAAATCCAAAAAGCCAAGGTAACTACAACAGATTCTTGGAAATTCAAGATAGAGTCTGCAGGCATGTGTGGACTTCCTCAAACTTGTAGATCAGTGTCACAGGAACTGGAAATGGCACACAGACACCATACCTTTTTCTAGTTCAACTGGGAAGAGCTCCAGCTTTTCCACACGCTTTTCGAGTTCATACTCAGCTGATGCGGCCACAGGGTCAACTTCATCATTTCTCCTGTCATAGTCTTCATTAGAATATGTATTGAAAACCTGTGGAAACAGACCAAAAATCATTCAGCTACCTACTCCAAAAAAGACTTCCAAGTTCTGAAATTAGCCACTGCTTTTATCCTGTGAAGTGGCAGAGTTTGAAAAGGCCTTTAAAAGACAAATTTCCTCTATTAATTCAAACTTCAGGTTTTTTAATTTGTGCTTTTTCAGTCAAGCAAAGCACAAGTATGGTTTCTAAAGTGAACTGAGTATAAATTATTGATTTTTATTGTTTTTTATTATAAATACAAAAAGTGATCCTTAATGACTACATTGGTCTGTACATGTCAATATGTACAGTACTTAATTCAACTCATTAAGAATGCACTGTTAGTAAAGAGTTACAGACATGAAAAAGCAAAATACATGGAATTCATAATTTGTCATACTGATACTGTCTCTGTTTTAGTCTTTACTCTCAATGAAACTCCAGTTTGCATCCATCTAACCAAAGCCAGACCTGAAAATTACTAATCTATGTTTATGCTGTCTATATATATCATTAGAGATTATGCTCCATATCATGTATTAACTTTTTTAGAACAGCAATATACACAGCCGTGAGTATTTTTTAAACTAACCAGGTTTACAGGTGTATTTCAGCTCTAAAGCATTAACTTAACAGTGACTGCATTGACCTGATTATGTTATTTATGCTACTTTCTATCATACTTTCAACATGGCCTTCAATCAGTGATTATTCAGACCTTCAGGAACTTCAGTCAGGAAAATTATATTTTCATATTTTAGAGGTCAGAGTTTGCCAGCCTAATTCACTTAACTGTACACATTTGGCAGTCATGAAAGAATATGCATTAGTGGTAATAATTTTACTGAACTTCGGTCCCATGGATATATCATATTCATTACTCTAAATAAAGGAAAAAAACATTTCCTGTCTCTCCTCTTCCTCTTTTACAGACACCTTGATACAATTGTGTAGCCATGTTTTCCTTTATCACTGTTGCTCTTACTACTTAAAACACTGTACCATAGTAACTATATTAAAGTTGAAGCACAGAAATACTATTAAATACTATTTTAAGCCTATTAACTGTGCTATGGCTACCACAAAGCTACTGCAAAAAAACCCCTCCTAGCTTTATATAAAGTAGAAGTCAAAATATAGAAAAGACTCAACAAGAATTTTACCTCTTGTATTTTACATCTATGTGAAACACTTATTAAATTTCCTCTTCTGAGAAGACTGAGATAATAAACATTTTACAAGAATACACAAACCTATCTCACATCAATTTTTAGTGATTCTGAAGCAAGAGAAAGGCTGTTTTAACTAAACTCTGTTCCTAGAAAGCCTTCATAAATGTACCAAAACCTAAGTAAAATAAGTCACATACTTAATGCTGTTCAATGCTGCTGAACTTTCTACGTTGCTTTAGTATCTGTAAGAATGGAGAATAGACACAGATGCAGAAACAAGTGTAAGGAGAGGTACAGTTCATGGCAACCATCTCTAGTCTGACACAAGAATAGGTCAAACCAGTTGCAAGAGCCCACTAAACAGCAACAAAAAGGTGGTATAACTTCCCCTGGCAGCTTCCCTTCTCTCTGGTTTGCTGTCAAAGGTAACTCTATACATTAAGGGTTCCATGTCTAAAACCAACCTCATCCACACTAACATCAACCAAATAAGGATCAATCAGTAGAGTTTGACCCAGCTAAACCATTACTGAGCTAAGGTTTGACAACAACCCTTTAGGTCTGAAATGCAGCAGTCATGCGAGCAAGTACAGGTTAAAAACAACAGCTGCAAGTTTAGCTTGAATTATCCAATTTATCAACATGATGAGAGACCCATGCCTCAAGTGTGAACAGAGATGAATCATACCAAGGAAAATGGAGATACAGACACTAGCTGTGGAAAGAGAGGCAGATATGCATTGCTTGATCAAGACAAAGAACAGTTGAGAGTGAGCTACAGGGGAAAAATTATGGCACAAAATTAGTATGTTTATGTCTGGATTTCTTTTCATCATGTTAACTGGCCTGATACTTTTCCTTGTGCTCAATGACTGACATTATTATATTGTAGCAGCAGTTTCGAATTTGTTGCAAAATGACTGGATATGCTACAGGATAACTTTTTTTCTGAGCATCAAATCATACACTAAGTTCTGGTTTGGGATGATCTTTCTTGAATCAGATTGGACAGAAGAGATGCCTTCTTGAATTGTGCTCACTGTTTTGGAATATTTGGATTTGCACACTAAAAGGGAACTAAAGATACTGTTGGTGCTGAATACAATTATCATTATGTTTCCAAATACATCATGCCACTCTTTTCTAGTATCTTACCTAAGCATTCGATCTGAGATTGTAGGATCACTGAGAGCATCAAGGTAAAACAGTCTATGTTTCCTACCTGGCATTAACTCACTGTCTTTTGTACACTGGTCATATAACACTGCCCACTGCCTCCAACAATGCAGCCGACTCCCCACGACTAGGAAAAGGAGGAGGATATTCTTGTATGCCATTTACCTCATTTTGCGCAATCACATTTAATGGCTGACTGATTCTATTAAATGAATCTCTAGGTGTTATAATGAAGAAATATTTGTGCTTGGAATTTTTCTTTCTTTGCGAAACAGTCTATCCACCATAGTAATGAACTGCTTGCTCAGTTGTGAGAACTGACAGTCAAGATTTTACTTTGCTAAAAATAAGATAAACATTTATAAACCACATTATTAGTGTCACATACTATAAATTCTGCAACATAAAAACTGTCTTATGTGATCTAAAGCTAAGAGAATTGGGATTGTTCAGCCTGGAAAAGAGAAGGCTTAGGGGTGACCTAATTGCAGCCTTCCAGTACCTGAAGGGAGCCTACAAGAAAGGTGGAGAGAGACGTTTTAGGGAGCCTACAAGAAAGATGGAGAGAGACGTTTTACAAGGGCATGTAGCGACAGGATCGGGGGGAACGGATTCAAACTAATAGAGGTCAAGTTTAGAATAGATATAGGAAAAAAATCTTTACTGTGAGGTTGGTGAAGCACTGGAACAAGCTGCCCAAAGAAGTCATGGATGCCTCATCCCTGAAGGTGTTCAAGGTCAGGTTGGATGGAGTTCTGAGAAACCAGGTCTAGTGGAAAGTGTCCCTGCCCATGGCAGGGTCTTGGAACTAGATAATCTTTGAGGTCCTTTCCAACCCAGGCCATTCTATGATTCTGTGAGTCCATTTAAGAAAGTCCCAAACATACTGACTGTGTGCTGGATGTGCCTATACTGTCTTCACAAGTTGTGCTAATGAACAAGACCCGATCCCAGGTTCAGCTGCTGCTGACTGCCTTGCTGTTCACGCTTTTTACCCCACCAGCGGCTGGTGGTCACCAAAGAGTAAGCACCGAGCAAGAACTGCGTATTGGTGGATGACACTTTGTTGCAACAGCTGTTCTACCACACTTTAAGTTACTCAGGTCTAACTCACACATAGTCTCTCTTATGTTCAGTTGGTGATTATACCAGGAGGACATTCAACAGCAAGGCCACAGACAAAGTACAATGGTGATCACTGTGTCATACCAATTATGAAACAATGCCTTCACCTGCTATTGCTATGCTCCCATGCCTCTGTTCAAAGGGAAAAAAAGAAAAAAAAATGATGTGATGTCATCCATCACAGGAAAGCAGCACCGCGAAGAATGGCCCAAGTTTCGTTATGATTGTTAGCAAGAATCCAAATAAGGAAACATAGTGGCATAGGACATTCAGAAAACATGTGAAGTCCAGAACAGCGTGCAACATCCCCACTGTGAGGAGAAACAAACACATTTGTAGGGTAGCTGCCAATTTCTTCAGAGCAGTTTTACAATCATCTCCTGTTTTGAATATACTAAACTGGACTATTAGGTTTCCTCCATGAAGAGGGAATGATTCTCTTGTCAGAAGAGAAATGAAGAAGAGCCCTAAGAGCACCAGAGGAAGAATCAGTCATGTTCAAGGACATGAAACTGGCCTAGTGCTGTACCTGAAGCACAAGCAGTTTTGGGTACTGCAACCACAAGGACAAGTGGAAGGCACAGCACTGAGCCTCTCTGCCTGTGCTCAAGAAGCTAAATGAGAGGAAAAGAACTCTCAGTTTGACCATTATCTTCTGCTTTAAAGTCTTTCTACAGCACAGCTTCAGGGAGGAGAGGAAGCTCTGGCAGTGTCTGGCATTGATGACTTCTTTTTTAAAGAGTCTTTTCTCTAAGATATGGTCATTTTGTTACAGTCAAAGGGAGTGAGTCAGTGAGGAAGCTTCCTCCAGCCCTCCTGGCTTCGTGCTCCCCTAAAGCCTGTGTGGGCATCAGCTGTCACTAATGCTTCAGCACGGAAGTAATTGCCGGGATGGAACACAGATGGGAATTAGACAGTAGCAATCTTGAAAGAAACTCATCATCTAACATCAAATCCAAGCCTGGGGTTTCCCTCCGAAAGCTCTGTAGAAGAAAGATCTATCGTAAGTGTCCTGAAACTCAGACAAAATGAACTGCATAGCAGGTTCTAGTTTTTGAAATCTTACACGTATCTGGGCCTGAGACTTCTCCATCCCAGAGAGACCTCTTCAGACATATGACAGGGAGACAGGAGCAACTGCTGCCACAGACAGACAAACTGCTCAATTCTGTTCATTTTTTTGATACAAACTGGAAAATAATATGCCTAGATACTCGTTCTTCAGGCCACTGGCACACGTTATCAAATCTTCTGTCTGTTGGAACAGTCACACAGAAAACCACAGTGCCACTGTCCTGCAGCAGTGCCAGCACATCTCAGTTTGCGTCCACACACCTCCATCCACTACAGCATGTCCTGCACCTGGTCTGTCTGTGGGGAGAAGTACCTGCCTGATGCTAACACTAAACTGTGCCCTGCCTGGTGGGACACAGCATTAAAATGCATGGACTAATCACATGCATTCCTTAGGTCTCTGACATGAGGGTTGATCTGTTTCACAGTATAAGCAACATTAAATAACCAGGCAGACTTCTCTT